TCGAGTTACTTCCATGGTATATCATAAACAAAATAATTGGGCCCTGTGCTTTTTAAAAAAAATTAATGTCAAATTTTATTCAAACAAAAAAAATTGTTTTTACATCAAATGTTACATAATGCTAAAATGTATAAATAATAGTTTTTTCGACGGTTTTATTTTATCTTGAATCAAAACATGCTTTCATTCCGCCTGAAGCGGCTATCCCCCATACGTCAAATTGTAGATATTCATATTTGCTACTTTCATAGTTTAACAAAAGCTAAATACCTTAATTCATATAAAAAAAATCACCAAACCATATTTTTGTAATAGTGCTTGTTAAATTTATATGGGTAATTGGCATCAATAACAAAAAAAAAATATCTAATCAAATACCCTAAATCTAATGGCTACTATTTAGCCACATGAGTCAATTTTTGTTACTTGCTTAATTATTAGTTTTTAAGTTATTAAATAAATTCACTCTTACATTTCATTTTACTAACTGTGAAACCTAGTTTTTCATGTTAAAAAATTTGACGATCGGCCAAAAAATATATATATAATGAAAAATGTTCAATAACACTCTTTTCATTTTAAAATATAAGATATTTTGGCTAAAATCATATATATATATATAATAAACAAATACTTTCTTCCAAAAAATATCATTTAATATATAAACAACAAAATTCAGTTAATCATAAAAAAAACTGCATAATACTTTAATCACACAATATTCGATCAAATAAAAAGTTACATAGAATTGTGATATTTTGAAAGGAAAAAAAAAACTCTAACTAGCAAAAAGAGTAATAATTAGGATATTTTATGCTGTCACATTCGAATTCTTTTTTTTTTTTTGATAAGATCACTCTCGAATTCTTGATCATAGTAAAATCAGCAACAACGTATTGTAGACTCTCATATTGAAGGTCACCACTCACATATGTGCAATTGTGCACATTTATCTTGCGCTTCATCGTTTTCTTAAATTAATGAACATTTATTTTCCATAACTTTCAGTAGTAATCACTGGAGTTACGTAAAAATCAAGAAAAAATCCTAATGAGTTACGTAACCTAAAACTTTACCTGTATGATTAGATGTTATATAGTTTCTTCTCCAATGATTTTCTATCGTGACTTCAAATCGTATATCTACATTTATTAAAAGAATTAGTCTTTCACAAGTAAACACATGAAAATCAGAAAAATCAAAGCTATTCATGTTCTTATAGGCTCTTAGCTAGTTTGGATGAATTGGTGGATCGATTTCACCAACTCATTTACAATACATAAACAAGTAGATATCGGTAGTGAGATTTTGGCCAAACTATATTAGAAATAACATAACCGAATCTTGATATTTCTATTAATTAAACGACCTCTAAATCTCTAACCGGGTTAGAAAAGAGTCGTTGCAATACGTAGAATAGCTTATTGCTTATCACTATTCTTGATTTGCTAAGTCAGTGTTGATGCAAAACTTGCTTATTAGTTAAATCTATACGCAATTGACTTTGGTAAAGCAAAATATCTTCTTTTTTTCTCTTTGACGGAACTCGTGGCTGCAAGATACCCGTATAATTTGTATA